GCATGCTTAATTGAGTTGTCCTGCCCCTGGTCTCCAAGTACTGCTCTTTCGAATCACCCACCCGCCCGCTCGCCCACTATGCGGAAGTGGGTGTGGCAACGTGTCCATGTTTGTGTGTGTACGTGTGTGTGCCATGTGTCAAACAGTTTATTTAAACGCCTGGCCCTAGAGCCACCCACCGGCATTACAACTCTGCTTCCCCAAATCGTCATCCAGCTATCTAGCCACCTCTTGTGGCAATCGTCCTCGGCCCGTAAATCGTTCGCGTCGCTTCAGTTGATTTTCATGTCACTGACAAAACACATTTTGTTTTCGCCTTTTGTGTACTTTGGTAAATACCACATAGAGCATAGAGAGACAGCAAAACTGTTGGAGTTGGGTTGTCTGGGAGGTACGAATGGTTCGCCTGCTTTGGGTGGTACGGCTGGTTTGGGTGGTTGGGAGCTATATAGCAATGCCGCCCAAAAGATTATACGTTTGGGGCGTACAAATGCACTTCTGTCTAAGTGGGTCGAACATTTAAATTGCTTGCCAGTGCGTCAAAGCTCAAGCTAAAGTTGACATCTAACCTGAAGGTACTATAATCTCAGCGACAGGAACGAACAGTTAAAATATTTATGTAATTAAAGCAAGATGCTGGTTTCGAGGCGTCAACTCTTACATGCTTACATGACAATTAAAGAATGTTCTGCTCTTATTAAGCTGAAATGTTCTTTCATCCCCGAATACGAAAAGTTCAAAATGGCTTGATCTGAGTGGAGATGTCTCACATTACCAAACAAAATGCTTGACAACAAAGTGCGCAAACAGAAAAAAAAACCAAATCAAATCGAATCACTTTCGACCATTGCTTAATTCGACATCCGCCTTTTTGTTCCACGTCTTGTGGGTATTAAATTCTCCTTGATTTAATTCTAAGTTTAAGAAAGGAATGAACCAAAGTTATCGATTGTTGTGCATGTGGAGGTACCAAAGTCCATGTAAATACCAAAAGTGATCCAAATGTATTGCTTCAACGTTTATCTGTTCCGACCATACTGGATTCACTGACTATGACATATAAAAATGATCCGGGAACTAAGTATATTCGAAATATATAGAAAGTATTTGTTAAAATAAAAACACATATTATTCAATTGGAAATAAACGAAAGATTTTGTCTTCCGTCAGACGAATTCGAAACCTTAAAATCGCGCTCAGTGTACCGAGGTTTATCCCATTACTTTACTCAATCGACTGATTGACGACAACAAATCAATCAAATCAGAATACAATTTTGAATTGTTAACTCCCATTAATTTTCTATTTATTCGTTTCACCCTATTATAAGTGCCTTTTCTTTTGCGAATCATCACAAATTAAATAAACAAATGTAAAAATTGACAATTACTCTTGAGGTTGAACCAGCAAGCACTCGCTAGTTCGTCCGATGCTCAACCGCAATTATATGGCTGCGTTGTTTTTTATGTTTTTCATACAAAATTTGACCGTCGGCTTGCCTGAATTTTTAAAAGCACGTCTTAGTGCTCACGTCTGACACAAAAGAAAGCTTTAGTCTTTTGATCTGTGACAAACTCAATTCTATACATACATATATAGATAGATATTAAGATGAGGACAAAGTTTTGCAGCTTGACAAACATGTGTTGTTGCCTTAATTTTGAAACCACAAGCGATTTGCTATATAAAGGTGTTGCCAGGCAAGTAGAGCATAACAACTGGGAAACAAAGTGGTTTTTGTTAATATTCGAAATGCGGTAGCAACATCATCATCATTATTATCAGCTGAGGGGATTGGACAAAGTGTGGCACAGCCAAGCCACAAATATGCGTCTGTCATTGGTAATGAGACCAACAATGGGCCGCAGTAGCATAGTGTACACTGTGGAGCTAAACGGATCGGAGAGGCGGACCGTGAAGATGGGGACAACGAATTTGGCAATGAGCAAAAGTTTACACTTGTTTGATTTTAATTACCAAAATTGCATTCAATAGCATAATATATTCCATTCACCTGCTGCGTTGATGATAAATTGACTGCCCGCTGATAATGACGATGAGGATAACGATGACGATAATGACAGGTGGCGTTGCCAGCCTGGTGGCTGGCTGTTTGTTGTTGACAAAACTTGTTTATTAACACGATTGAGGCGTTGCGGCGTTCTGTCATATAAGCTACTTACTACAGACTGGTTTCAGTGCTAAAAGCTGGTATTACTCAAACGCCTTGCTCTTACTTCCTCCCTCCACGCTCTTTACCCATCTGTTCCATCTCTTTACCCTCGACATTTGCAGTGTTGTTCTCTAATCGATTTTTGATGAGATTTTTGTATTCAATTTTGGTTTTGATAGGCAACGAACGCATCAACTTTGTCTCCCCACCTCTCTTTCTCTCGCCTCCTCTCTTCCCCTTACCATCTATCTATATTCCTGCATTTGACTGCTTGGCAAGTGGAAATAGCTGGCGATAATAGCGACAACGGAACGACCAGGACTACGACGCCGTTGACATAATTTTGCACGGCTTTGTTTGGGCGATTGGCATGCCGTAGACAAACGTTTGGGGTATTCACATGGCTGACAGTGGTAAATGTGGGGGACACCACCCCACTTCACCCCACCCCACTTTACCCCACCCCACCGCATCGAAGCATGCTACATGAGAAAAACTGTTTGAATTTCGCTGGCATTTTTGTTTGCTTTCCATTTTCTTGAGCAGTTGTTGCTCGCTGTGAAAGTTCGTACTATTGGGCTAAGGTTATGCAGCAGTTACCTTAAGTCTTGTGTGGATGTGTGTGGTGTGGGTGTGTGTGTGGGTGTGTGTGTGTGTGTGTGTGTGCACTAGCGGATTTTGCACTGCCCTAGCTGGCAACTTAACGACTACGAGTATTGTAGCAGTTAACCTAGTCTTACAAAGCCATCAAAAATCATCGCCAGACCACAATTTCGAAAATTGATAGTTAGCTGTAATCGATAGTTTCAAAGCTGTAATGTATGAAATATATATAAAGCTGTTTGTACTGACTAACTGACTGCCTGGCAGATTTGAAATGTTCCACCCGAAAGTATGAAATATTGGTGGATAATGGGTTGGTTTAATATCCGATCGGTTTTTAACTCATCTGTGATGACAATCCAAGTCCTTACCGGTGGAAAGAAGAGTTTGAGGCCTGATTCATTTTCATTTTAAGAGTTCTAGATCTAGCTTATTAAAGAGCTGCTGTTTCAATGTTTCAATGGTTTGGCATCTAACTGTTGATTGCAGTAAATGGCCCCGAGGAAGCCGGGTAATAACTGTGAGCTGTGAGGAAAACAAAGAATGTCTGATAGCGGAAAACTAACGTTTGTAACATTGATAGCTACTTCTACGACTCTGTGGATCCGGATAAACTCTGGTATTTAGCTAGCTGTGTTTAAACCAAAGTTTTTATAGCCTGGCCACTGGCACAGCTCGTGCACAAAGAGAGGATAGTGGGCTGCTGTTGTCCCAGTTGCTGGCCATTTGGCTGACACTGGTGCATGCCACATCAGTCGCTTGCCAAGGGCACTTTGAATGCTTACAAAATCACAGGAGCTGTACAAGGCGCACCTGTCGCACCTGCTGCCCTGTGGCGCCCCCCCAGCCCATAGTGAAATTGGCAATTTCGTTTTCATTCAACGCTGACGAAATGCATTTCCTGAAATGAATGGCGACAGCGGAAAGCCGGCGAAACGAAGGAAGTGCACACGCCTGACACAGAAAACAACTGGACCGTGGCAGGTGGAGATGGCTCGTCTTCTGGTTTCAGGAATTCAAGAACCTGCCTGTAGCGCGCAGCTTCTGCCGCACTCTGGCTCTGGCCCCGTGTCCGGCTCTTATTGAGCAGCTGAAAAATGTCAAACGGTGATGCAAGGACGTCGGGAAGTGCAGCATGGTCAATGAGCCAGGCACCCAGCTGTAGCATGGACTCTGCTCAGAACAACTACAGTAAGTCTGTTGTATATACTTATAATATATGTATGTGCACTTGTATATGTATTGTTGGCTTAAGCAGCGGCAGGTGCAGCTGTCGCTTCCACTCAGGGCCAACATATGCCCGAGCTTTATATAGCGCAGTAGTAATGGTAAAGCTGCCAAGATGGAGCGAGACATATTCATGTGAGGGCGGGCAACGGGCAGGGGGCGGCAGCTTATGGCATGCCTTGATGACATATGCATGTGGACAGACAGCAGTTACTGTTAACTGATGCCGCCCTACGCTTATGATTAAGACATCCAGTTAATACCCCTGAGCTGAAGCTAGAGCTTGGAGCACTTTTAATTTTTGCCTGGATGTGCCTGTCAGTTGGCCAACTGAGAGTCGCATTTGCCAGTAAAATGAAACACAAATATTTAAGTTGAATTTTAAATTTCAATTTCATTGTTGCCATGTTAGCTGTATGTGCCTGGTAAATTTGATCTTGAAGCTATGCCACCTGCTAATTATTGGATATGGAAGTGGAAACAGAGTTGTCAGCTTGGCAACCGTTGTACATTTGCATATTTACTAGATTTTTATGGCGGGGAAGTGGGTTAGGAGGATTGTGTCCGGAACCGAAAATCTGTTTGAATAACATTTGGGGTACTGGAATCGATTCGACGACACAGACCGTGTAATAGATCAATTAGAATACCTGCCCAAATATTCGACTCTTACTCAATACAGTTCACTTCTAGGGATGACACTTTGAAAAAGAAGATCGTCGCCATATTCAATTTTATCTTTACGCGCAGATCAGAGTCCATTTGATAACCTTCTACATTTTCACTCTGACTTTGGCTAAACATAAATGTATATGTGTCTCTCATGGCGTACTAGATGGACCTTTTGTGCAGAACTTCGGATAATCACAATATCCTATTATTGAACGCTGGAAGTTGCCTGACTTGAGCCTCGCGTTGCCCATTTATTTGCCACGAGGCATTGTAATTCTCTGAATGCCATTCGGTTTTTATGTAATTAAATGCATTCTATATTTACCCAAAACTGCAATCTAGTTTCCATTCGGTCTGCTCGACCCTCGTGACCAGTGTGACCCCGATATCTAGGCAAAAAGTTGCCGGACTGTCTCTTCCCCCCACCCAACCAACTGCGGGTGTTGCTATCTGGCATCAACATACGACTTAGTACAATACAAAGTCTAAGTCCAAATGGCCAACTCCACATCCCTGCCGCCGTCCTCACTAAGCTCATCTTTTCTATGCTTTCCACTTAAAACTTGGCAAAATTTTGCTGCACACAAATTGCAAATAGAAAATGCAAATTTGAATTGAAATCCAAATCCAAATTCCGCATCCGCATTCAAATGATCAAGAAATTCTCTTTATTTTTTCTTCATTTCGATTCCTTTTTTGCATGCATTTGCCATTTGTGTTCTTGGCCCAACTGCTTCTTCTTTTTGTTTGTCGGAGTGGGTGCGACTTTTCAACTTTTGCTTTAGTCGTATCCTTGGGATACTCACTTAGCCGGCTGCCAAACTTATTTTCATATTTGTTGGACTACTTACCAAAAGTATTTGAATTACAACATGAAACAAATCGATGCCGTAGACACCTGCAATAAGAGAAAAGAGAGAGGGGGAGAGAGAGGAAAGAAAAAACTATTAGTTAATTTTTTTGACAGTCAGGCTGTGGAGTTCATTAGCTATGGGGTGCCTGACACCCAGCCCACCCTCACTCGGAACATTTTGCTATTAATGATGCAACTGACAAAGTATGCAGCTCCACCTGGGCTGCTTACCCTAATTAAGTACAGTTTAGGTAGCACCTGCCGTTTCCACACAACAAAAAAATACTGACAAACAATTAATGGCAACGGCACGAGGTATGACAAATGTAAATGGGAATGGTAACAGGATTTGGAAGAACCACGTCAAAGACCTGCCAAAGCGCAATCACGTAAAACATTAAGGCATTGCCTTACGGTGTACACAAAACACTTGATCCGCTTACTAAGTATGCCCTGCACCCAAATAGAAAGCTTAGGACAGACTTGCACTTATCTGAACATACCCATATTCCAACTTCTACAGATGAACGATAACAAAGGCTGACTACAATACGAATTATATACTCTTGAACTGTGACTTCAACTTAGTACACTTAAAAGAGAACGAAAAATCTGTTTTAGTAAACGCAACTGATAATTTTTATATTTTAAAATTGTCATTATGATTTCTATACGTAATATTATTGTTAAATAATGACATCAGGATTGTAATATTCTGGTTAAAGGAAAGTAAGTAAAAGTGCTCTTGACAGGAGTCCCTGACTTGGATATACACTTAGCGAAATGTATTCTTGTACCGTCGGTGTTTACAGTCCGATCTATAGGAAATTTTCAGTGGTCAAATGTAGCACTAAAAGGTGTGTATATATCGCCTTCCCTCTACCTTCAAATATGAGACTTTTTGTCAATTTAGAAGGCAATAGGGGTGATATCTAAGAAGCGAAAGAAGCTATTATAGCTTTCGAGTTAAATCGATTTAAATCTATTCTTATCGATATTATCAATATGTTTGGAGGCATTGAAAACATAAATGTTGTGCACATATTGCTACCATACGCAATGCGAATATATATTCCAAATATTAAATCCCATTCTTTTATAGTTTATAGGATTTGACTAATACGATTTAGCTCGTCATCCTGACCATGGATATGTTGCACTTTATGGGGTCGGAGATCTTTCATTCTGCCTGTTACATACATTTCCACCATAACTTAATACCCTTTTTAACCATTTTTAGTATGTTGAGGGTATAAAATAGAATCCCTAAAATAAAATGAAGACCATACAGAACTGTTAAGTGGCTCAGCTTTATTCAAACTATGTTTACATTTATCTTAGCTCTTTGTAATTTTCTAGAGAGCACTGAGTAAAAATGGAACAACACATTTAAATATTTACATTGTGTCAAACCGAAAAAAAATACGTTTCACTTAGTCCTGCTCAAGTTGGCATCCCTGCACGTCGAACCTTCGACTGGGCGAATATTGTTTGAAGGGGAAGAGGGCAAAGAAAACAATTAAAAGAATTTATTGCTCGAGTTTAATGAATTTTCAGCTTGTTTGCATGCCCACTATGGGGTTGGTGGGGGTTGGGCGGTTTGGCAACCGGAGTGGGGGGTGGGGGGGGGGGGGGGTGTGGCAGGTGCAGAGCTGCCAACGCAGCAATTTTGATGAGCGAATGAGAAACGAAGCGCCACAGGTGTAAAACGAATATAAATCTTGGGGCTTAGATGTGTGTATAGATGGCTGTGAGTGTGTGTGTGCGTGTGTGTGTGCGTATGTGTGTGCGTGTGTGTGTGCGTGTGATGACAGTGAAAATAACTGTTATTGTTTCATTGTTTAATGAAGTTTTTCCTTCTTTTTCCATTTCTTTTTTTAATTTGAGCGCAGCTGTTTGCCTTAAATTCATGCTCCGAACCTGACGATGAATTGCCCAAATATGCAAAACGTTTCAAAAACCATTTAAGTGTTTTATCAAACGCTTTTGTTTACCCAAACCCACCGACTCACTCCCTCGAGAATTTGTTTCCATGTCGGCCAATAAAGGTGCAAATTTGCTGCTGGATGGCGGAAAGAGCGCCGGGAAGAAAGAGTTACGCTTAAAGCTGAATAAACCTAAACGGTGTTAAGTCCAAAGTATCAGCCCAAAGAGACTGGGTTGAGGATGCCATAACCCGGCATGTATCTTTTGCACTTATAAATAATAGCGAAATAATAAGCAACCAAATATTGTTCACGTTGTGTGTTATTTGTTTTTGTATTATTTTCTAATAATCAGTAGTATTTTGTGACCCTTAAATTTGTGGCTAGAATTTTACTGCTGTCATTTTTATTGAATCTTGCTTTTGAGTCAAAAGTGAGCACAAACGCGGGGTTATGGAAAATTCTACTTCTAACTAAGACTGTGGTTCTCGCTAGTATCAGGAACATCAACAACAACAACCCATATAAGTGAACTTCAAATGTCACGATATTAGTCTGAGTGGCTTAATTGCGGAAGGTAGCCAGTTAAAATCTAGCAGAAATTTGTAATATTAATATTTGTTTATTTTATTCACAAAGAATGAAACCAATGACAGCAAATGTAAAAAAATAATATTGATAATGAATGGTTGTAAATTGCTCTTTGGCATAGGCCCCAAATAATATTGACAATTTAAGCGGCTTTCTTATTTAATGTCTGAAGTTGGCGGGGATTGCACAAATAATTTCCGTACTGCTTCCATTTCCAACATTATTCATTGCATCCGGGCAAAGCCGGTTAATTTCTTATCGCATATATACACCATACTTTGAAGGTCAGATATATTTGTTGACTGATAATGTCTTTTTTTTCTATTTTTTAAAGGTTCCTCAGCACAAACTAATAGCTGTTTTGGGTGTTTATTTGGCCTCTCAGGGCCATAATTCGATTTGGGGGCGATGTTGTGTTGTGTTGAAGTTGCCGTCTTATGTTGGCCGACTGATAAACACGTTTTGCCTGAGACTCCGTGCATACATTAAGGCTTCGATGCCTGAACAAACTTCGATAGCCCGGCAAAGGCAAGCAAATAAGTCGAGCCGGGGCAAAGTCATGTGCACCACCACCCGTTGCCACCAGTTGGCACCAGATGGTGGCGGCCAGCGATTGCAGCGATTACTCCGAGCTGTCAGCAAGTACCAATTGCTGTGGTAGCCCGTGCGCTCACGGCTCAGCGATTTCGGGACTCGAAAATCGCAAGCAGGATGCCAATTTTTCAAGTTCTACAAATTTGTTCAAATGAATATTTAATACTGGCCAGGGGACGGGGGAGGCCGCGTGGTGGGGTGGGTGAGGCTCTAGCCCTGCACTTGGCTAGTCATCAATTGCGAAATTCTAGCTGGCCAATGGTCGCAGTGCCAAAGATTTGCCAAGATTTACGAGCCAAAAGCCAAAGCCATTGGCAAAACCTTGGCAAATTTGGCAAATTGACTTTTGCCGCTGGCCAAGGCGACATATTTTCGCCAGCTGAGCCAGCAATTGCCATGCAACACTTTGCGGCAGCAACATCAGCAACATCAGCAGCAGCAGCGACTTACAGCTGCAGCAGCTTATCCGGTCCATAAATTAACAACTTGATTATGTCGAAGCAAGCGCAACAGCAGCAGTTGATCATAATGATGATAGCCAGGAGTGGAGTGCGCTTTCGTGAACGCATTCCACTTGGGGCGTCCTTTGTGGCTGGCAAATTGGGATTGCTGCTGCCAGGACATAACTAAATTAAAATATTGCGCACAAGGACAATGCGAACTCTACCCAAAGCAGCTGCCAGAGCTCAGCTGGTAAAGGGCAAGGAAGCGGAGTCAGATCCACAGTTTCGGTTCGTGCTCGGGCGAGGGCTCGGGTCCGGGTCCGGGATTGGGTTTGGTTTCGGGTTGGGCTTTGTGGTTGCCAGTTATCAACAGTTATCATAGCAATGGTGAAAATGAAAATGAAAAATGACACAAAGAATTTATCAAACATCCGCTTCCGGCAAACAAGCGACCAGGCATCAGGCAACAGGCAGGAGCCAGTAACTACAAACAGGATAAGGAATAAACTAAAGCTTCATGTCGCATCCAATTGGCCGGAAAGTCGGCAGCTAGCAGAGACTCAACCCTGGCGCAGGCAAAAACAAAGCCTAACAAGAACAAGGAAAAAACAAAATTAAAATAAATTGTTCATAATATTAAAACACAGTCGAATGCAGGGCAAGGGCTGTGGATTTGCGTATAAGTCTGTGTGCTGTGGAAATGTGAGGGATAAGCTCAGCGGACTTGGAACAGACCCATTCACACGACAGACAGCAAGTCCTTTGGCAGTGCAATCAGCGAATTGCCCAGTGGACCTGAATACTTGGAATTGAGTCCTGGCAGTCGGTTATGCGTCAACCAGCAGCTTAATATAAATGAACTTCAATCAAAGGAATTAAAAGAAAACTTTGAAGTTGTTGATCAAAAAATAAAAAAAATTACCATGAACAAATAAGAGTTCGTCTGTGAAAAGGATTAGATTTGCATTTGGACGGTATTCAGATTTTAAATCTAGCTTACAAAGAGTTTCTAAAATAAGCTTCATTTACACTATTGCGTTAAATGAAATTCGCATTTACTCTGGCTGAAATCAGAAATTATGGGCAACATGTACTGGATACAAGAAAAGCAATTGTATTGCAAATCCAACTGCTGGCAGTGCGAACCTGGTTTCTCCATTATTAAATCAATTGAATGTTAAGAAATATGTTTTACTGCAATTTCAATGCATGTCACATGATTGGAGCAAAAAGACAATGGAAAACAACAACAAGATGGGGGACAACTGGCGATTGGCGCCAACATATGCCCAGCTGCTGGAGGAACCAGAGTGAGACGCATGTGGCATATGAATGACGGGCAGACCGACTGGCAGCAGCCACGAGCTCAAGTCAACTGGAGTTGCACTAACCGATACAAGTAGTTGTTTTTGTTGTTCTTGTTGCTGGCGAGCAAGTGAGAATGCATCGTTAGTGCAGGAAGCTGTCAGCCAGCAACGCGACACTGGGATAACCAACTGCAAAATGGGAATGGCAGTCAGCCTGGGGATAGCCCAAGCAGCCGGTAGATGAAGCGGGAGTGATAGAGGAAGAGATGAGGGAGTCAACCACAAGAGCCAGACGCATACATGTATAGAGAATTACAGCAAGCAGCATGTTGCAAGCTGCAAGCGGCAGCTCAGCCGGCAGCTAAGCCGCAACGCAACGCAAGCGTAACCATGTGGCAAATGGGGCTAAAACAGAAGTGTCGCCATCATCGCCATCGTCGAGTGGCAGTGATGGATAAACCCAAGCCGACTGCCAGCCAGCCAGCCAGCCGGCAAGCCAGAGGAGTGCCCCATCATATAAATGTCCAATGCAATTGATATTAACGCTTTGAAAAGTCCTCGACTTAACCCACAATGCATTTCATTCAGGATCGATAGAGTTCATGCGGTTTTTGTCGAGTTGATTAAATATAGCGATGTTATATATATTTTATACATATTTATTTTACATAATTTTATACCCTGCACCCATTTGAAATGAGTAAAGAGAGTATACGATAAGAGACTGTAAGTATACTTATAAGAGTCTAAAAGTTTAATGGTTTTGCATTTATCAGACAGAAGGAAGCATCTCCGACTCAGTTGATCTAGCCATGTCCGTGGGTCAGTTTGTGCTTTCATCCGTATAAGAGCTAAAGACTTGAAATATCATAGTACCTGCGCAGTACAAGATTGTTTCAAATCATCGATAACTTGGCCCGATTCTATTTACTAATAAACACCTTTGCTTGTTTTACAATCCATAACGTTTCAGCTTCAGCGCTAAGGAATTTATACAATTTTGTAGAAGTTGTAACTTGTCGTATGCTCTGTCTCTCTAGAAATATTGTCGTATCATAGATTTGTCTTCAGTTATGCTGTCCTTAGTTAGGTTTTGTGTTTACACTTATTAAGTACATAGGTTTTTTGTTTTGTGTTTTTTTTTTTTCAGTTTTGTGTATTTATGTAAAAGACAACGTATACTCGATGACATATCTTTCTTATCGCAGGCTTGTTTAATGATATTATGCATATCTGTCTAGTTTGTCAAGCCCGAATACTGTTCTTAGTTGGCACCAAGAGCGGTGGATTTTGCGAAAAGTGTGTAATGACTTTTCACGAAGATCTTTGACAATAAGTTTGAAGCTGATCGAACGAAATTTAAAACTTAATCAAACCCTAAAAGCTGAGAAGTCCATATTCCGTCCAGGTGGGGTGTATTTGGTGGAAATGAGTTTTCATAAAGTTCCTTAAATATAGGTTTTATCCTTTAAATTCAATTAGTTCAGTTTTTTGTATATATATGCAAATTTTATAGATTTATTCCCTTTCTGGAGCATCTCTATTAAGAAATTTATGTGTAACTTCGAAATTGAAGATTTTTTTTATGGTTAGACCAAATAAGACCTAACTGTATATAATTTGCTTTAAACTTCATATATATTCGAAACATAAAACAATTTTCTGTTGTTGTCCCTAACACAAAACACAGCAAAATCTCAGTTGAAAGTCGAGAATACTTTTTTCCATCACATCTACAGTTAGCTATGGCTAGAGTACCATATACCTGGCGCCAGCCGCCGTATCCTGGCGATGAGAGCGACAAGCGCTGGATAGATCCCAGCATGATCATTTTGTGCCAGGATGGGGATATTGATACCGCAATTGGACCACTTTTGCGTACACTGTATGAGCCAATCGGCAAGGGACTAATTGGCGCCGTCTTTGTGCACGAGACAATGCGGGAGCAGTTGATAGACAAGGTGCGCGAGAGGATGACTGTGATGCATCGTCAGGTGAAGAGCCACGCTCTCTATGCCAGGGCGCTGCGACGCGCAAAATGCCTGGGTGCCGAGCTGGTGTCCATGATGCAGCCGGACGACATTGGCTTCCAATACAGTATGGTCGAGGGCTCACCGATACTCGTGTGCGACTTTAATCAAAGCTTCTTCAGCGTTAACCATCCCAGCACCGTGGTTACCCTGCATACATTTCGCCACAGCCAGGAGCTGGGCGAACTGGCTGCCAAGGAGCAGCTGCCATTTGTCAGCGCTGCCATCTGGTGCCCCAAAATGGCGGCCGCCTACGAGGTGGCCCTGTTTATGAACGTGCCCACCGTCTACATCAACTGCGAGGGCGTCAGTCTGATTCCCATAGCTGAAAAGCATCAGGCCCAGCAGCCATATGCGCTGCTCATTGCCAATCATCATTATGAGGTGGTGGTGCAACAAAGTCACGCCAAGACCATTGTGTTTCCGGCGCCGGTTGACCTGCACCCAAAATCGTAGCAGATCAGCCCAACGAAAGGCTCATCGGACCCATCAGCCAGGATGCTCTACATCAGTGACTTTCTTTTTGATCTGTCCCGTCTTATATATCTTAAGGGTTCTTTATAAGCATATGAATGCAATACACTCATTGACAAAACAACACGTTGAACTCTTTATTTTCCTTCTAGGTGCTCCTCAAGCTACATTATCTAAGCAGGCTAATGGAATTGGACGCCCTAAGTGACTTTTTATTTGAATTGTCTTCATATGATATGATAGAATTTTCACAGTTTCAAGCAATCGCAGAATTGTTCTCTTTTGAACCTCTCTCGGTGCTTCTCAAGAAGCTTTCTCTCTGAAGACTCATGAAACCAAACGACCAGGATTACCTATAGAAAGTGACTTTCTCTGTGTTATCGTTATATAATACGATTTTCAAAGCACATCTCAAGTTTTTCTCTTAAGAGCCTCTCTCGGTGCTTCTCAGGTGGCTTGTAAAGTACCAACGCAAGTGTATTCAGCAGCGCTTTGAATGGGTGCCCTCCGCCTGTACCTTATTCACCTCCGGCTGCATTTTCACCACTTTCTTCTCCTGGCTTAGCATTAGTCACGAATCGTAACTGCCAAGCTGTCATCCATGGCTGCGATTTTCACAATGAGTTTTACTTAACTTTCGCGTCACTTAAATGTAATTTGCAAACTTTTCGGGGTAGCCTGTGTGAGAGTGTGTGCGTGCGTGCGTGTGTGTGTGTGTGTGTGTGTGTAGGTGCTTGTTGTTGCTGCTTGTTCGATTGCATTTACTGTTGTGGCGTTCGCCAGCCGAGCTCCTCTTGTTTTGCCACTTTTGAAGTGCATTTTGCTGTAATCAAGCGCCTACTTGAATGCGCCCGTCTCCCTCCAACGCCACGCCCAGCTGCAGAAGCCTTTTGGCGCTTATTTGTTGTTGTAATGCTTATTGTGCTTTCATGCTTTTTAGCATTTCATCATTTGTTGCAACTTTAACCACGCCCCGGACCTCTGACCTGGCTCCCCGCCCTCTGTTTGAACGTCAAACTTTATGCATTTCGATTAGTGTGTGTGTGTGGGTGTGTGTGCACAGTTAGTATGCTGTTGTTTTGGCCTCTTGTTGCAATGGCATGTGGCAGCTTTTGTTTTTGGCTGGCAGCTACCTCTCAACCCGCTCGACCCGCTTAGCCAGCAGCACAGCAACCCAACCACCCAGGCGCCTTGTTTGCCATCCCGTTGTTGAGTGGCCTTTTAATGCAGCCGCTTAGCGCGTGTTGCACTTGCCTCGAGTTGAGTTCAGTTGTTGTTGCAACTGCTGCTGCTGCTGCTGCTGCTGCTGGCAACAGTATATATTATTTATTTAGGGTCTGTTGCGCCGATGTTGACCCAGTTGACGCTTCGCCCGTGTACTGACCCAATTTTTAGGCACTCCCCTTCTGACTTTGTTTTGGTATGTAAGGAAAAGTTATGCGAAAATGCCAGCTGAGTTGAGATTAGATTGTAACACCCAGCCAATTTCAAATGGATGCAGGCAAATATATGAAGAGTTTGGTATTTTGGCATTATCTAAGCACCTATAAATCTCCAGCTAACAAATATTTAAGGCAGTCAGAAAATTATATTTCCTGGCTAAAAAGATATCTGTACTCATGATCCATATCTTTCCAGTCACATACCTTTCCTGATACAACTGAAGACGGATTCAATGATTGACTGACTGATTGATTGACTGAGGGATTAAATGGGAGAATGGTTGACAGATTGGCGAACTCAATGTCTGAAGGAATAAAGCCTGACGACCTACCCAGGCTTGGCGAAATATCAGCTAAGCCAACTGTGTTGTAATAAAAATGTATGCTATTTTTGATTCAATACAATAAATATTTAAAAAAAAAACAAAAAATGTCTGAAGAACTATATAGCTGACTGAGTTACTGAATGACTGTCTAATTGATTGAGCGACTGGCTGACTGGTGAACTGCGCTCAGCCCGAACAACAAGAGATAGAAGGCTATATTTATTTATTTAGGAAAGTGCACGATAAGACAGGAATAATATTGGATACATTTTTTGGTATATATTCACCCGGAAGTGTAAAAAGTTGATGAAAAACTTTTGTTTGAAACAATTTCGCTTACTTTTTCAAAGATCATCGTAAAAATTCAATGGAGAGATTGCTTTTATGTGGAAAAAGGTTATGTGGACCAACATTTAAGTTTTTTGTGATAGGTTTCAAACTTTATTGCAATGCTCCACACTTAAAATTAAGGAACAGGTGCTTTACCGACTTCGTTAAATAAATCCGAAAGTCGTAAATTGCGAAGAGAACTTTCAAAGATATATATAAAAATACAATCACGATGTTTCACAATTTAGGGAAATCCAGTCCTTCTGTATAATTTATTTTCTAGATGATTTTCCTTAAAAAAAACTCGTTATACACTTTTTTTATTTTCCTATACATTTTTTTTCAGACTGTGTTTATTGTCTTTCACATCCGCTGTCGATTTAAAAACATTTTTTGCTGTTACATTCTATCAGATATTATTAGACTGTTTTTAAAAGATTTTTTCCACCCGTAATAAACAAATTGAACTCAGATAAATGTTAGTTCTAACATGTTTTTTTTTGCGAGGGTATGCATAATTAATAAAAATACCAATGTAATTTAAATATGCAATTATTGAGTGCTAAAAAAATTAGCTTTCATAAATTATGTAATATTTGAAAAAAAAAGTATATTTATATATTTGCTTTATAAAAAAGCAATAGGTGGCTTGATTAATTGTTTGCATTACCAACTAAATATCCGTTTCCAGTGGCCACAAAGTTTGCGTTGAATCAGGCGCTCAGCTCCCGAAAGCCCTTAGGCAAAGCTTCTATGGCAATTACAAAAACTCAGATAATGCTTTTTGTCAGTGCCATACAAAAGGCAAGCCAGGAGAGAGGCGTGGGCGCACGGGGCGGGCGGATCACTGATTGAGGGGGAAACAACACCAACAAGTTGTCCGCATCTGAAGGTGGCCAACTGGCAGCTGCTAGTCGAGCTGAGCTGAGCTTTGCTTCAATTATGCTTCATTGTGCTAGTTCTGACAAAAGACTGAAAAGGGACAGTAACGAAGCCAAAGAAGAATGCGGCCAGGAGATGGTCTCATCCTGCGCCTGAACCTATGCAACGAAATTTTTATTCGCGACCATGTTGAATTGTGTGGCGGTGTTTAAATTCTCCCCTCTGGCAGCTGCCTTCATTTCAAGCGGAAGTTTGCACAATTTTGCCTATGAAGCTGCGGCGAGTGAATGCACCGCACAACCAGCCCCCCCCCCCCACACATTGCCAATGGAGCTGAGCCGGGCTAAACTGAGCCAAGCTGAGATGGAGGCAGCTCCTGGGGAAAACACAAAAAAACAACGCTGGACAAACAGACCAGCAGCCCGTTAAGACTGCCGCGCTCCTCTTCCTCGACACTTGCATTTCAATAGCTTTTCACTTGGCTTGAAGGTGCCGCAGGCAGGCTGAGGGGCAGCGGGCAGGCTGCCAGCAGGTGTTGTTGTCGCTGTTGTAGGGAAACACTACAAATATAATGGCAACAACAATGAGTAGCTGTTGCTGCCACCGTTGACTTGGCTGCCATGTTGCAAAAGTAATTCAATTTGACTTTTTGTTTTGATGCTGCCGCAGCAATAGCAACAACTTGCAGCAACAGATCACGCAACAGCCGTTGCCAAGCCAACTTTTGGGTTAAATGTGGGCGTGGCTAAGGACGATACCACGAAATGCCAGCGGCCAGCAGAGCCCAGCGCGTCAATTGATTTAGTTCTTGACTTATTACCCAGCATCAAGCGAATTGACTAGTGAGGATTCATTTTGCCACATTTTCATTAACGTTCTGTTTCTTTTTTTTTTAACTGAGCTCCAGCAAGAACCCACCGAGAAGGACACCCAAATGACTTTGGCTATTTGTCGGGGGGAACGTAGGGCAATGACAAGAATTCTTTGACTGCTGTGCGATAGAGTTGCCAGGCTTGTTCAATAGATATATCATGCAATGCACAAGTGCCTATGAAACCATCGTTAAAACTGTTCTACTCCGCATATAAGCAGAATATAACAGTTGCCAAACGTGTTTAAGCTATTTACCTATAGATATGTGCGCGCGTATCTTGCAACTGTTATAATTTAAGATCAATACTCGTTTACAAGAACTTCTGGTATATCTGTTTAGTCAGCCTTAAATTATTGCAAGCCGCAAACGAACTCTTGTACTTATGTAGTTGAAATGAAAATAAAGAAGAATACATTTAATAAGTTTAAATAATATAGTTATATACAAGTGTTATACAACATTCATACATGTCAGCTGTTATACCAAGTAAATTGCAAATTTTACACATTTATTTTTCAGGGCTCCAGAACAAAACCATTTAAAATGCAAGTATTTATGATGGACAATTTTTATAATAATCTTTCTTACAAGTGTTATACTGCACCGAATACCGAATTGGATTGTTTTGTAATTACCTGAGGGTAATTTGGAAACCGCAGCCGCATAATGGTTTCATTAGATCCCAGCTCTGGGGACGTCGGCCCAGACGGGCCAGTGCCAATAATAATTGAATAATAATTTGAGCAATTTGATTTCATTACATTTACTGGCACCCACAAAAGGACTGCAGCAAACACGTTGCGGCAAAGGCCAATATGATTTGCGGTCAAGGGAGGCAACAGCAGCAGCAGCAACAGCAGCCGCAGCAAGAAGGAGGCGACAATGAAAAAGCCATAAGCCAAATTAACAATTAAAGCATGCCAGAGACGAGGCGTGAACGAGCAGAGGGCTGCCTTGCCAAGGCTTCTCCCGAGAAACCCAAAGTCAAATAAACAAACAAACTTGGCGCTGGCTGAACTTGGCCAAAAGACGCACCAACATTAACAACAGCAACAGCAACAACAATGCGTTACTTATAGTGGTTGGTAAACAAACAGAGCACAAAGGGAAGCCGTCAAAGATGTAGACTATATGACCAGAACAATAAGGCAGCGGCAGCGGCAGCTGTGACAACAGGCAACACTTCAGCCAAATCAACATATTGCTGACCACTTGTGCCACAACATTTTTAATACCCTTCTGCCCTAAGGAGTCCAACACATAGAAGAGG